CACGTCCCACGTTGGTTAATCGCAAACGGGGAGGTTGTCATAGTTGGTTCCCGGACAGGGGGGGGGGGTCGTAGACGGTCTGAGAAGAAATTTTTTGATAGTTCTCCTGTTTCATTCCTTCAAGGGGGAAGGGACCAGGGGATCGGGTCCACACTGGGCGATTTTCGTTGGAATTTTTTTGCTGACTGTTGATTCTCCTGTTTCGTGCGCGAGTACTGGAGAGGGCGGAGAGGGGGGGGGGCTTGCTTTGTTCTGTGTACCAGGGCTTATGTTCTGAGCTTTTATGTTTTCGTTACCAGGTGGACGAAGTTGCCACCGTAATCATCTTTTTACAGTAGAACTCGCAATTGATAATTTAGTAGCCGCTGCACTTTACCTGCCTACGCTCTCTCCTTTTGCGGTGAGACCATAAAAAAATCCGTGAATTAACGTGCACTCCTGTCCGCTGCGGCGGCAAAGGCGTTTCAGGGGGCTGGGTTTGACGCGGTGCTTGCCTATTCTTCACCCCTGCCAGCTTCATTGCTAGAGAACAGGCTGGCGTCGCGTCAAACCCAGCCCCCTCCCCACCTCATTCTAGACGCCCAGCGTCCGCCGAGAAGAAACCAGCGCAAGAATGTTGACTAGTGAGTAAAATGCTGCCCCCAGGCAGGACTCGCAACTGCATCTCACGTTTTCTGGTCGAGAGCGCTATCCTTCACGCCGCTAAGGCCGCTCTTACCCACCGCCCAGCCATATCGTCAGATATCCGGCAGTGAACCGCGAGGCAGGAAGGCTCTACAAGTTTTCGAAATTTTTTCATTGTGATAATTGCTTTTTACGACCGCAGTTCCGAATGTTACCACAGGTATGCTGAGTCATGGGCAGAAGTCTCACTCCAGTTTGGCAATTTGGCCTGAGCTGCGCTATAATTAAAGGCAGCTTGGCACGATAAATCCCCCAAGACGACTAGGATCAATACGCCTGGCAGGACGGAATTCCGCGACCCTGAGCAGGCGCTGCATAGCGGCTCCTCCAAGGAAGGTGCCCTTATAAGGGCCCTATCAAGCCACACTCCGACCCAAACGCCTCCACGCCCGCCCGCCCACAAATGGACGACCGTTCCTGACGCTCGTATTCATTCATTTGCTAAGCAAATTATGAAGCGAAGGGATTGGTATGAAGCGGCCGTGATGCTGCATGCATATCTGCCGTATCTTCGGTAGCGGTGATTGGGAGCCTACGGAAACTCGTCCGAAATCGATTTTCAAGTCACTGAGAACGGAGGCTTTTTCTTCGCAGGATTTTGACCGTTTCACTCCGTTCTTTCGCCATTTCCCCACTATACAGCGCCCTACTAGCATTTTAGGCTAGTAGGAAACCATCGTGCCAACTGCCTTAAGCAGCATCTCAATCTCAGAGAAGGCTACAATAGCAGACTGGGCATGGCCTAGTTTCGCCGTGTCCCCTGCTGCTCAACCAACGACCTCGGGCCCCTAATTTTTTTAGCGGATACAAGAGTTCAACACTAAACAGGTAATCATTTTTCAATCCTCGACAGGCAACTGCCGATTCTTGGAGACTACGGGTCGTCACAAAAGCCACGCATTACGCAACTCTAGCCGGCCTTATTCCCGAGCGTGGCAAAGGTGCCTTTACCTTCTCGGACCACTTGCCAACTGCAGGATTGCGTGACTCGGCCAGTTTTCGTTGTGTCCACATCCCCATTAAGCACGCTCACCTTTACTTCTTTTCCAGCTTTAAAGCCCACAGTCAGCAGTGTCGGTGGTCCACAAACAATGGAAACTCAATCCTTTTGAACCCGTCAATCTTCTGATTTTGTCTGCGCTCTCTCGCTCACATGGCGTTCTTTGACCACCGAGACTTCACACACTGCAACCCTTGACGTATGGCAGATGGTTTCCCAAGCGACAGCCCACTCTCTTTCAAAAAGCTCATCTGTCCCGCCAGGGTGTGTGGCGATTCTATCGTCGATGATAAGTAGGTCGCCGCGCTGGTGGGCGCCGCGTACGAGTCCTGCTGCGTCGTGCTCGTTGAAATTGTTAAAATGATCATCAAGCCATATTGTTTATGTTAATCCTGTACTGCTTGTCCCATTTTCCTATGATGATCAATGATTGTTTTTTCCGCATTCAAAAGTAAGGGTGTAAGACTGGTCCCACGTTATTTGCTCAAAATTACTGATCCAATTTTGGGCTTTTCGGAACTTGTGAATACGCGGTCTTCGAGACTCATTTGTATGTCAGTACGGAATTGTCGCACCGCGCCGCCGCGCGAGACGCCGCGACGCGATGTGCGCGACGTGACCTGACTTGCCGACGATAGAATCGCCCGGGTCCCGTCCCGCCAGATACTCATTTCCATCTTTCGATGCTCCAGCAGGGCACATCAGCCGTCGTGAGACTCGATGGGGGTCATATTTAGCCGCCTTAGAGGAAGTCGCGTTCAGCCTTGAGAAATGAGCGCTTTGGTCTATCGCCCTCAGTCCATTTAGGTGGCGGCGCAGCGCTATCCACTATTTCTCATAGTGGCTGAGGTGTCCACCCCTTTTCCCCATCCCGCTGGACGGAAATTTTCGGGAAAACGCTAGTGAGAGGAAGGGTCCGTTGTGAAGGGGGTCATATCGAGAGACCACGGGGAGCCGCATCTAGAAAAATCTTCCATGATGTGACGGTTTGCCCTGCGTAGCAAGCGACGTCTTTACCGGCGCTACGATATTTCGCGATAGGACCATCAGAAGCGTTCAAGTATTAGGTTGTTGCATAAGTTCTTTCCCCGACTTTTTTGTAAATATCTCAATAGCGAACCAGCCTGAAGATTAGAGGTATGCACCATCACCATCCACTACTCGACGCCAACGCTCAGGCAGCTTGTCGATTCCATCGTCCCAGAAGGACGGGGGCTGGGACCCGAAGAAGGCCACAATGCCGCACAATCACCACTGTGACATGGTTTTGCACTGGTAATTGTGCGGCATTGTAGCCTGCAAATGCAGGGTGGGTGAGTGATAGCTAGTGTGGTGAAAGAGTATCATGTACACGTCACGCACACGTGATGACGAAATACCAACCTCCATGCAAACGAAATACGGAAGGATCAAAACAGGGGGGGGGAAGAACTTATGCAACAACCTAATAATTACAGAACTTGTAACACTGCGTGAAACTGACTACCGTTTTTTTTTGTATCCAGTAAGAATTCCGTAGAACAACCGAACTATTGAAACAATTTAGTGTATACCTACTTACACAGAAATTCCTACAACTAAGGATCATTCAACCAATTCTCTAGGGAATTCCTGGGTCAATTTGCAGGAGTAGAGATGACAGGTAATTTTTATGTCATGCTGGGAGGCTATTTCCTTAAGTGACGCTTGGAGATTAGCGCTAATCGATAACTGCGATCTACTCAGCCCTCTACCCCCAAATTGTTATCCCTGAGCGCGATAAATGTCATACTACTTTAATCGTAAGTCGATAAACCTCTATGAAAACAGCCGCGAGACAGCATTTCTGCTAACAGTTTCATCAATTCAATTCAAAAGTTGGGGTTTTCAGAACAGTAAATGGTTACTATCAAAAGTAAAATTACTCCGAATAACCTTCTAGTACTCAAAAAGTTTAAGTAAGTTAGATTAAACTATCGAAGATTATTAGAAGGAGGAGCAGGGGTAAGAGGACTGAGCGGCACGTCTACACATCAGCACACACCCGTGATGTGTGTGGCTCGCTCCGTTCCAATTCCCCCTCGTCTAAGATCTCTGCGTCTCTCTTTACCTTCCTCTCATATCGATTTTCATGAGTAGTACTTGAGCTGTACCGCTATCCTTCCCAACAGTACGTACTTAGTTATTTCTGCAGAATGTCGTATATTACCACATATGTGTTGTGGCTCCATTCCGCCACTTCTTGAAATTAATCCCCTCGATTTGCCTTTTTTCTTGCCCTAGAAAACTCCAGTATGATTTTATTTTTTTGAGGAAGTAATGAAAGTAGCTTTGTTTACTACTTCTTTTATATAGAAACTTTTGTTGTTTGTTTTAGTTTTTCTTTTGTCTATAAGTTTAGAGTTGGTTTGGTTGCACAGAGGACCTTAAATGTTTGTCGGTATTTGAGTTATCAACGAATATATTCGACTAAAATGTTTATTTTGGAGTTATTGCGCGGAAGTCAGGTTGGTCCCCAAATCAGCGACCCCCTGCCTGCCTCACTCCCAGACCTCCCACGACGCCATTTCTCTCGTACCCTCCTCACTCACCATCTCTCTCTCTCTGCAATGGACCTCTTTGTTCTGTTCATAACTACCCCATTCGATCAGTTGATGTATAATTCATTCTACTGAATTTAGTCGATACTAGTTCATTATACGATGGGAATTTGTTAAATACGCAATTTCCGCAATTTATTTTCCTAACGTCTGTAACTCCTTCGCACGTGATTTCATTGCGCAGCGCTCTGTTTCTCTGACGCTGGCTTTTCAATCAATTTAGCAGTTACAATTTCTGGAGTAACTGTAGTAAATAGATTCATCCCCTTTTCAATGATCTCTTTCTGCCTTGTAGAAACCTCAGAAAATTATTGGGGAAAATTTGGAACAATTAGCACAGCTTTTTAATACGTTCTGGTGCGATTTTTGCTGGAAATTTTTAAAGAAAATTTTCCCACTGGAAGTATTTTTTCTGGGATTCATGAGTTCCGTTTGTGGATAAATCGAGCTTTTAATCGGGTTATCCAGAATTACTTCATGTACGTAATATTTGTAAAGAAGTTCTCTCCTTCCTGAAAGGTCTTTTTAAGAGAATTTCGATTTGTAATTTTGTGCTCCCTTATCCGTCGCTGTTGTTCACTATAAACGATTTATTTTCTGATTTGACTTCTAAACAATTATAAGAATGACAATAAGATTTTAGAAAACTAATCCCTGAAGGACGCCATCGCATGAAATCTAGCCCTACGACGGATAACACTTGAAATTTTGTGATTTTTGAGCGGTATTCGTTCATAATGAGTTTCTCCAGTAACGAACTGAATTATATTGTATGGAGATATCTAACCGAATCAGGTAAAAGTTTTAGTCTTCTTTGAAATTTCCTAAACGTATAAAAAAGCGATCGCGAAATGAGGCACTGACCCTGCTCTGGTGATCTACTTCCCTGCAGGACCGTTTCGGTAGATTCCCCCCTCTTTTTATTTGTTGATATGTTCAGTAAACTTCCTTTGCATAAGACTGTTAATCATAAACTAGTTTTTTTACTATCTTTACTTGTATGTTTCCCTGTTGCTTCACCTGAAATTTGTTGTATGGCGGATTGGTCATTTTCTGAAGGCCAGCGTTCAATTACAAAATTAATAAAACCTTACATATTTGCCAAAGTTTAACGTAAGTAATCTGTATCGGTGGCTAACACAACATTACTAGGATTCATGATGTGTACCAGGAAATGTTGAAGTAAAATGCTCTTTCAGTTGAAGGACCTGGCTCCATTTATTTGCTAGATTTTGCTGTTACCATCACACTTAACTACCCAAGTAGTTGCTTACTGATGAACTTAGGACAACTTACCTCCTTCGATCCGGACTGTATGTACTGGAACAGTCCTTTCAGTCATTCTTTGCCCGATATCGGGGATATCCGAGCAGATTAGCTATTGATCACTTCGATGGATTCCTTCCTGAATAGATAACTTCAAAGAAATGATCTTACGGAGAGCTTCTAAATTACTCACATGTCCCATGTACGAGGTGCTATTCGCATCGATGCCTCATTTTTCGATCGATAGATCGCGTCAACATGTGTGCAGGGATCGCGTTGGGACCCAACTTCATGCAGCGCTGTTTACTCGTTGTGATAAAACAATGCATTAAATGCGCGCAATATGTGTGCTTCATAGTTTACGAGTTGCTTCAAAAGATTTTATCGCCCATACTGAAAGAGTTCAGTTCAGGCTTTGAGCATTCGGCATATGTGTTCGCAATGGAGTCCAATTTAGTAGACAGCGATATTGATTGTACGGAAGTTGCATCTGGTGCCCTGGTGATGATGGTTCAGGTAACGTCCTACTACTAGTGAACGGAAGTCTAATAAAATAAGCATAATAAAAGTATAAAAGTCCTTTGTTAGCGTGGACTTTTCTACGCAGAAGCGGAGTTCCGTGCGATGGCGAATCCCGACAATACCCCGATGCTCGATGAGAAAACGGACACGCTCGGACTCATCGAAGCAGGTAACACTTTCCTTGCTAAGTTGTTTAACACAGTAACTAAGGGGGCGGGGGAGGGGAGGGGCATTCAGCGTAAGCGAAACCGATATTGCCGTGATAGTCATGAAATTGCTTATACATAATGGCAGAGAGGCTCCGGGATCGGTGAGAAGCGTTGCGCGGTTCGTTCGCAGCGGACGCCGGGGCGTTTAAGGGGGAGTGGTTTGGTACGACACAAGCCTGTTCCCCACCAATTGTGGTCGTCTTCCAATTTCCGTGATTGGTGGAGAACAGTCTGGCGTCGGTTAACTCTCTCTCCCCTTTAGACGCTTCAGCGAGCAAGCCGACATGCAAACGGTGTGCACAAGAAGTTTTCCAAACATCTCTTCCCCCTAGCTACTTCCCTCCCCCTTTTTTTGCATTTAAAGCTACTATTTGCGTTGCCAATGTCTTTTTTAGTCATGACTGAGCCTCCTCTCAGCAAATTCCGTAACTCTCAAGCAGTTCCTGTATCGAACAGTGAAACAGCGACCCCTGCAGTGAGTTTTTGATTTCCACCATTTTCCCTTTTTTTGTACTTTGAATTCATTTCGCTATCGTTCTGGGATATGTCGCTTCTCATTACCATTATTTATGGCTATTTTTAAATAACTGGTATTACGGTTCGTAATAAAAAACGCTTTGTGCCCCGAGATAGGCCTCATCGCGACGAAACAGGCGTTGCAGACTGGCGCGCCTCGCATTCGCACGTAGCAGTACCGCCATAAGTCGAGCAGTTGTTTATGCCACGCATCATCGGTGGGAGTGTGCAGACGAACAGAGACGAATTGTCTCAGTCGCTCACAAGGTATTTGTCAACCGGATGCCGCTCCCTGCGAGGGCCCAGAGGTGTTTTCTCACCACATCTTCTGATCCAGCATTAAGAGGAAGGAAGATTACAGAAGGAAGGAAGAAAAAGGAGGAACGATAGAAGAAAAAGAAGGGCTTCGTGGTTGACATAAATCATGAGACCGTCTCAACCCCTCTGAAGAGTGTCCCTTTCTGAGGCACATAGCGCAATTTGTTCTAGTCAGGCTCTACACTTATGGAGTTTTTGTTTATTAGGACAAATATTTGTGATTTCATTTAAGGAATGGGTAATGTTTATTGGGTAATAACGTCTGCGACGCAGGCTTAATTACCATGGGTCGAGAAGGCCTTTAAGTTTTCTTTTTTCGCGCACGCACTTTACTTTCACATATTTTTTTGTGCACATGTAATTTTATTCAACTTTTTTTTTCGGCCGAGGTTCAGAAAAGAGAGAATCAAATTCGAAAGTTTTTGTCGGCCTGTGCAGCTGAGCATACACGGTGCTGTTATTACCTACTGCTTTTCATTGATTACCATTTTGTGTCGCTCGAGTCCAGTTCTTGAGTGAGGTAGCTAGTGCTCTCGAGAACTTCTTAAAGGGTTCGGAGATTTTGAAATTCAAATAGAGCACCTGTTCCCGGATGCTTGTCGTCATTTCCATGTGGCTTACTGATAAGCTAGCAGAGTATCCTGTAAACAGTTGATCTGACAAAACGCTGCGTCATTAACGATTGGGTCCCACTGCGAATGCTGCGCCACTACTCGGTGCTAATTATATAAACCCGAATATTTCTGTGGAATTTGCTCCAAAAGGGCTTCATCATCTATACTCTTTTTTTACTTCTTTGAATTCATTATCTTTTCTCATTCTTACAGATGATGTCACCATCCCGGAATAATGGCACCACGTTAGGCGTTCACGGAAAGAAGCAACAAGCTGCTCAACAGGCGTCTAGCTTGTGAGTTTTGTCCTTTTGTCTGCTGTTTGCACTGCGTACTTCATTGATTCTGATTTTTTTTTCTTTCATGGTAGCTGTCCAGTAAGGTGGCTCGTTTTGGTGCAATAGTTCGTTCGGGATACGGTAGTCCCATATTTCACGTCTAGCGTTTCATCGCTTCGTAATAATACAAGCTTTGTTCAGACGACTTTTTTCGTTCATTTTTTCGCATCTTTGTGCTAGTTAGCACAGTGCTAAAGGGTACAAGGAAACATGAGTAAGGAGGTGACCACTTCTGTCAAGCCTCGAGAAGGGGTTCTGCTGTGGGTGTACCGATTCCTTCGTGCGAAATCGTGCAGATTGTGTTTCCTCATTTTCCTATTAAAAATCGAAGAGCATTCCTCCTGAACGTTTATAACTAAAGTACACGTGGCGCAAAGGTAGTTCGGGGAGGGGCACGTGACAGTGCGACTGAGTCTGCCTTTGAGAATATGGCATGCCGACTCTGGTCGTCTGCGCTCTGTCATGCCTGAGCGTCGACGCGTCGTTGCGTGCTCTCCTATCCCACTTAATGATTATATGTGCCTTCGGTACCAAAATGATCGACATTATTGGAATAGCGCCTTTTCTTGGTCTGTTGGATGAAATAATGATTTGAGTGCACTTTTCAGAACTGACGTGGCAACTCCACGAGCTGTTACTGGTGACTCTAATGGCGTCCGCCATACAGATGCCCTTGAATTTCCTGAAGATAAAGTTCGCTTCCTGAAATGCCACAGTAGTGAAGTGTTTATCTGTGCATGGAATCCTGTCGAGGACCTAATGGCATCCGGGTGAGTGTTTGCTGTTTAGAGCCGGAGCACAAGCAGTGCAGACCTGCGAGAAATGCGGCTTTTGCACGAAGTTATGATTAGTTCTTTGAATCATACTTTTAATTGTCGATACTACTGAAACATCGTAAAACTGAAAAACCTTAACAACTCTGCGCCCTAAGCTAGAACGGGGCTTACACGAGCGACATTTGAAGGAGTTCTTGTGTAGAAAATTGGATTCCTGCAACGAAGATGAAAACTTCCGCCTATCAAGATATTGCACAGTATTTCTATTCGGATAATGCTGTTCCTATGTTAATACAAGGAGTCCTTCGAATGATTCTCCTCTCCAAGGTCATTAGCGGAGGCAATGAATCATATAATTTGTGTCAGTCCTGTTCGCTGATAGTGATGGGGCGTGTCAGCGCCGCTGCGTTCGATGCGCTGCCACCCGCTTTCACCAACTGCAGAGAGGCGTAGTGACAACAAGTGGTAGAAAACGACTGATACGAACGATATGATACAGTCTTCGCGCTTGCCAAAGGAAACGGGTGAACGCCGCGCCAAACGCTGCCGTGCTGGCACGCCCTTCATCCGCAGCGAACGAGATTTTATCTCATATCGAATTATGTAAAAACGACTGAACTGTCAGTTCGAAGCTGTTTCCACGTACTGGACTGTCCCGTAGTGGTAAAACGATGAATTCTTGTGCGGCACGGAAGCGTGCGCATCTGGCCAATGTCGATTAGTGCCGGTCAGGCCAGCGTTTCGAATCGACGCAGCGGTCGATTTCTTTTCGCTCGTAAGCGCTCGCATATCGAGCTTTTGTCCTGTGACGGATTTGAAGCCGATTTCGGTGAAGAAATTCCGTTGTTTCTTATAGCTCCTTCATATTGCTTTCCAAAATGTTGCAAATTTGTGTTTTTCCCACTTCAGATCAGGAGATTCAACAGCCCGAATTTGGAACTTGGCAGGCTCAGAAAATCCCGCAACACCATCCAGAGAATTTGAAGCACGCACGAAAGTACTGAAACATTGCACGTCTGGGGAATCCGAGAAGGCGCAACAGCCATCGAACAAGGTACAAAACTCTGGCTCTACTGCTTATGTACTTGTTGGCTGTAAACGTTTGAAGGAATCTTCAAGGTGCCGTTATATAAGAGTGTCAACCTGAGGGCAAAGAGGGTGCATAAATATCAAGGTTGTGTTCTAAATATTTTACCATACGCTAATTAAGGACGTGACGAGTCTTGATTGGGATGCCGCTGGTGACCTTCTCGCAACCGGTTGTTATGATGGTTTCGCAAGAATATGGACTGCCGAAGGTTGGTTTACTTGAACAAAATACTGCGCTTGCGATTACAGTAACTTTGGATCTTGAGCACAAATTAGTACAGTATGCAAGAATTTTGTCAATCTAGGTTCCAAACTGAGAAGAGAAGAGACACAGTTACCCTCAATTATTTCCGCTTGATAGAATCGCGCGTGACAGTTATTCACGGAGTTATTGCTGTTCAAAATCGAGAAAACGGGTTTGAAAGAAGGCCACTACTTTGCGCGAGGTCTCCTTGAGTGTGTAGTAATTATAAGTAGTAGCATCGCGCTCAAACAATAGAGTATTTAGCTAGTTAGCACACTGTAGCATTGCCACGTTGAATCAATCGTTTTTGGTGCGAATGCCGCGCACGATGCATGAATTGTTTCCTTCACCGCCCTTGCCCCAACGTACATGTGTTGCAGAACACCCTGTCTGCTTAGTTTTGCAACGATATTGCTCACTATCCATTCCTTCCAGGCCGTCTCCGCTGTACGTTAGGAGCACACAAAGGTCCTATTTTTGCACTCAAATGGAATGCTAAGGGCGACTATATACTTTCGGCAGGTGTGGATAAATCGACCATTGTATGGGATGCTGTTAAAGGTTGGTAGCTGGTGCTGTATTGAACATTACCGGTAATATTCGAGTTATTCTTCCAGGTCAGCAAGTGCAACAATTTCATTTTCATACGGCCTCCGCCCTTGATGTCGATTGGATCACAAACGACACGTTTGCTTCATGTTCCACTGGATAAGTCAATCCATGTCAGTCGTCTTGGATGTGACAAGCCAATTCGGACATACCTGGTAAGTTATTCCTTCACGGGGCACATAGGGCCGTATCGCGTTGAGGATTCCCCAATGGGGCCGTATCCAGCTGCTGGGAAGAAGATGAGTCGTGTTCGGGGCATTTATTGATTGTTTAATTTCCCGTTTTTGAAGCGCGCTACGCTCCTTTCCCTTCCTTTTCGGCGTCGTGGCACCTGTAATATTTCTAAATTGATTGGCGTGTTTTCTTCCACTTCTATCCGACGGCGGTTTTTTTTGAATGTTTGTGACGACTGAAGTAGTATCGAAGAAGAAAATATGAGGGCATATGCATTGAGGAACATTTTCCCCATCACGATGATGTGACATATTTTCGTATCCTTTCACTTACCTTTTCTTTACGTTTACGCTTTGCTGTGTTAT